AATTTTTATCGGACATAGCCTTGAAATACTGGCGCATTTTTAGGACTTTCGCGCTCTAATATGAGTATTGTGACTATTTCAACATATTCGACATTTTTTTTTCTTATTTTTGATATCATATACTGAAAGAGCTCGAAACACTGCATCAAATTATATAAACCATTCATTGGATAAAGATTTTTATATTCTGTTATATGAAACCAAGAGGAGACATAACATGGTCCTCTGTTAGTTTTTCCACCATTTCATCCCAAAATCATCTGATTATTCGACGTTAAACAAGTTTCTTTATGTGATTTAGATTGGAAAAGCAATTTCACACATCAAGAAGTATATTTTAGACGTTCTAAAAGCGTTATCTTGTCGTCTGAGGACGATATCTGCAAATGAGGCTCTACCAACATCCTACAATAAATCAGTCTCTTATCTTCTAAAAGTTCAGTTTTTTCGAATTTCAACCAAAGATTCGGAATCAGCGCCTAATGATGCTAAATTCAATACAATTCGGAAAAAAAGAATTTTTTTCGATGGTTCTGAGGTCCCCCACCAAGTGCCAAAGGACTCGTGAAAAATGAAAAGCAGTTTTTTTCATAAAAAAAATACGTCATTTTACTCAGAATTTAATGCTGATTCCAAATATGTAATTCTTTTCGAAAAGTATTGGGATCGAAAAATGGTCTTAACGCCACTTGTCCTTTGTTTTAAATTCGATATCCTATGCAAAAATCTACATCGAGAAAAATATATTTCAACAAGAGTTTCTCAAATGTAGTGTTTCATGGAAATATCTGTACGATTACAATCAGAATTAACGCAATATGATAAACCATAATGGTAATTCTCCTGAGGAGCAACTATTTTTGTTAACTGGGTTCGAATTCAAAACTTTTGAATCTGATGGACATTATTTCAATACTCTGCCTATGATAACAATGAGACAATATTTAAAATAGAATTGTTCTCAGCAGTGTATTATGTATAATGCTAACATATTTTCTTAATTGAATCTATTCTAGGTAGTTTCAATAGACTTTTGGATGTTGACAAAGAACTTTTTCTTTGGTCTGTTATAACAGGAAAACTTGAATTTAATTTACTATTTTGGTCTCGTTGTAAAAATAAAATCTGTAAGTAATCCTTTATTTCAATTATAAATATCCATGTTCATATGTACAAATACAAAATATATTCTTAGGTGCTGCATTAATAGCTACATTAATTTATAGAAAACGAGCGGAAAAAGAACTAGATACTAATTATGAACAAAGAGCTAATGATTTCGAAGCATTAGCTGTACAAATTCTTAATCGATTTTATCAAATAGATCCTCGTACATGTATAGAGGCAATTATACGACGAATACCAGCCTATGGTAATGTTACATGGTTAGAATTAGCTGCTAAAGCTGAAGCTAAACAATTTTTTGCTCAACAAGCAGTACAAGATGTACTCAATGATATTTGGTATGTTGCAAACTTAAAGTTTTTTAATGAAATGTTCAACATTTTCATTTAGGTATGGAAAGATTAAGCAACGAGAGAGTAAATGGAAGATTATCTTTTCGACAATTATGCTTTGGTATAGTGGTTTTCTTGAATACCACAAAGCATTAGTTGAAGTCGATGACAAACCAAGATTTTTAGATGTATTTTTTGTTTTACATTAATTTACTTTTTATTTATTATGTTTTAAATATTGAGGACTTGCTTATTAATACAAGTTTATTACAACGAACTTTCAAACCAAAAACATGGCCTGATGAAGAGAAGTATTATGTTTTAAATAGATTGTTTTAAAAATAGTTATAATTAAGAAGATTTTAGATCTGAAATTTTCTTATTTCATATTTTTTTCAATAGAGTTTATAACTATTTTAACCCAAAGATTAGCCTGAAAATAGTAATTATTACCAGCAAAATTCATATCTTCTAAGAAATAAAACTTCTAATTTTATTTTGCTTTCAAAAGTAAAAGAATATCATTTTTAACATCTAGAATAAGAAAATATTTTTGTAATATATCGATATGATACCAATAAATTTCATATTCATATTTTGCTTCTTCAATAAAATATGTATACAAATTTAATTTGTTTTCTTTGTTTATTATTTTACTAGAACAACGAATGGTGCTCAACAGCCATTAACCGCTAATATTGCAAATGCAGATAATAATACTCTTGATGGAAACGTCGTTGTTGGCAGTCGTAAAAAGTAAATAAAAATAAAAATAATAATTAACATATACTAACGCTTGAAATATTTAATAATTTTTAACGTAGGATTCCTAATATTAATTACAAAGAGAATTCGTTTGTTTTTTTTTCTTCAATTAAGAATGACAAGACCAAGTTGTCCATATTTTGAAAATATTTTTAACTTTGT